CGGGGGGGGGTGCCGGGTGCAAAGATGCCCTCGGGCTGGGGGAACCACAATCAGACACTGAAAAGGGGTTCACTGTGGGGTTAAGGGAATGATGCTGGAGGGAGAACACGTGAACTTTCTCTTTTCAAATCTTTCTTTAAAGATCTAACACCTCCAAATACATAAAATTGAAGAAGAATAAATTAACTCATGCAAGAATCTATTGCTGAAAGAGATAAAGACAGAGATCAAAATCTAGAGTCTTCCTTTCAAAGACAGTTTTTTTGGTTTTAGTTTTTATGTTAATGTTCATCTTCCCTAAGACCAAGTTGTGTATCCTCTCAACTTACCACCATATTCCCAGCACCTAGCACAATGGCTGGGATGTGGGCAATATTTATTTTTATTTTATTATTTATTTGTTTGTTTAGGAGACAGGGTCTCACTGTGTCACCCAGGCTGGATTGCAGTGATGCAATCATAGCTCGCTGCAGCTTCGAACTCCTGGACTCAAATGAGCCTCCTACCTCAGTCTCCTGAAGCCTCCTGGGACTACAGGCACATGCCACCATGTTTGGTTAATTTTTTTTTTTTTCTTTTTCATTTTTTTGTAGAGATGGGGTCTCACTATGTTGCCCAGCCAGGTCTCAAATTCCTGGATTCAGGCAGTTCTCTCACCTAGGTCTTCTAAAGTGCTGGGATTACAGGCGTGAGCCATGGTGCTTAGCCTAAAATCATTCTTTTTTCCCTTTGCCATCCCATTTAATCTTTGATTCAACCTGATAAGGTCAGTACTGTTATCAGCCCCATTTTACAGATGGGCCACTGAGGTTCAGAGTTTACATAATTTATCCCAAGTCACACAGCTTGGAAGAGGCCGAGCTGGTATTTGAAGCCAGGTCTTCACAGGTTGCACTCTTAACCACCAAGCTTCCCAGCACTCGATATGATGGTTATGGACAGAGACCACTGGTGGGTCCACAACTCTGCAGATGGATAGGGAAAGAAACATAACAGGATAGCAGGGTCAGCACCAGCCTTGCCCACAGTAATATGTTAAGGCTCTGGAAGGTCCTAGAGACTGGGCAGTTTGGGGCCTCAGACTTGGTGCCTGGAAGACTCTGGCCTGCCCGACAAACAGCAACTGCTGTATGTCAGCTTACTCATCTTTCCACAGGTGAGCAGGGAGAGAACACCACAGGAGAGGCAACAGGAAGCCTCTGCGGCCTGGTTGCACAGGCCCTCTACCCACTCGGTATTCACTGCCCCTAGAGGCGGTACTCTCACTAGGCAGGTCACAGAGCTGGGGACCGGCCTGGTCTCACCAATGTGTGTCGTCCTTCAGCAAATCATCCAAGGACTCAGAGTCTCAATTTCTTCATGTGTATAAAATTATTTTAAAGAATATTTAATTTCTGGGTGCAGTGGCTCACATCTGTAATCCCAGCACTTTGGGAGGCCAAGGCAGGAGCACCACTTGAGTCCAGGAGTTGGAGACCAGCCTGGGCAAAACAGCAAGACCTCGTCTCTACAAAAAAAAAAAAAAAATCAGTCAGGCTTGGTGGTGTGCACCTGTAGTCCCAAATAAGCTACTCTGGAAACTGAGGCTGGAGGATCACTTGAGTCCAGAGGTCTGAGGCTATGGTGAGCCATGATTGTGCCACTGCACTCCAGCCTGGACAACAGAGTGGGACCTTGACTCAAAAACAAACAAACTATAAATACAAACAAAAAATAATAATATTGCCGCGCTCGGTGGCTCAGCCTGTAATCCCATGCCTTTGGGAGGCTAAGGTGAGTGGATTGCCTGAGCCCGCGGGTTCGAGACCCGCCTGGGCAGCGAGACCTCATCTCTACAATAAGTCAAAAAAATCAGCCAGGCGTGGTAGCGCATGCCTGTAATTCCGGCTACTTGGAAGGCTGAGGCGGAAGGATCGCCGGAGCCCAGCATGTCGAGGCTGCGGTGCCCGGGAGCGGCCACTGCACTCCAGTCTGGGCGACAGAGTGATACTCCAACTAAAAAAATAATAATAATAACAATAATATTTAATTATATGAGAAAATTCTAATATAAAAGTAGATTAAAACTGAATATAAGCTGTTTAACCAAGTCTATGACAACATGAGTGTGTAAATTATATATGCATGAAAGCAAAAACACCAAAATGTATGCAGCATGTGGCAGAGTTGTGTGTGAGTAGAGTGAGTGTGGGGAGGTGTTTGGGGTTCTTACTTGTTTTTACCATGTGCTGACACTGTTTTAGGCACTTTATTTGTATTCATATATTTCTTGCTAAGTCTTTTAAGCAGGCTTATCGAGGAATAACTGACATATGATAAACTACCTTTTTAATTGTACAATTCACAGGAAACCCATCACCACTATCAAGATAAAATGTTCATCACTCCCAAAAGTATCCTCACGCCTCCCTCAGTCCAACCTTCTCCATCCCCAGATGACCATTGCTCTGTTTCCTGTCACTATAGATTGGTTTGCATTTTCTAGAATTGCAGTTATTTATTTATTTATTTATTTCAGAATCTCACTCTGTCACCCAGGCTGGAGTGCAGTGGCACAATTGCAGCTCACCCCAGCCTCGACCTGCTGGGCTCAGGTGATCCTTCTGCCTCAGCCTCCCGAGTCACTTGACTACAGGCATGTGCCATCATGCCAGGCTAATTTTTTATTTATTGTAGAGATGAGGTCTCGCTATGTTGCCCAGGCTGGTCTTGAACCCCTGGGCTCAAACAATCCTCTCACCTTGGCCCCCCCCCATAGTGCTGGGATTACAGGTGTAAGCCACCGCACCCGGTCTAGAATTTTATATAAATGGAATCATACTTTATGTACTTTTTTGTCTTATTTCTTTCACTGAACGTAATTATTTTGAGATTCATCCATGTTGCTGAGTATATCAACAATTTGTTCCTTTTTCCTGCTGAACAGTACTTGACATGTACCAGTTTGTCTATTCGCCTATTGGTGGACATTTGGATGTTTCATTTTTTGGTTTTTGGGGGGTTTTGTTTTTGTTTTTGTTTTTGTTTTTTGAGTTGGAGTCTCACTCTGTCACCCAGGCTGGAGCTCAGTGGCATGATCACAGCTACCACTACCACAGCCTCTCAACTGTTGGACTCAGGCAATCCTTCCACCTCAGCCTTCCAAGTAGCTGAGACCACAAGTACGTCACCACACCCAGCTAATTTTTTTTTTTTTTTTGTACAGATGAGGTCTCGCTCTGTTGCCCAGGCTGGTCTTGAACCCCTGGGCTCAGACAATCCTCCCACCTCCACCTCCCAAAGTGCTGGGATTACAGGCATGAGCCACCGTGCCCAGCTAGCCACCACACCTGACTTCATTTTTGACTATTACAAGTAAAGCTGCTATGAATGTTTGTGTGCAAGTCTTTGTATGGATATGTGCTTTCATTTCTCTTGGGTAAAACACATAGGCATAGAATAATTGGATGATATGGTAAGCATATATTGAACTTTTTAAGAAACTGCCAAACTGTTTTCCTAAGTGGTTGTACCATTTTACATTCCATCCAGTAGTAGATGAGAATTCCATGTCCTTCACATCCTCATCAACTCTCAGTAGGCTTTTTAATTTTAGTCATTCTGATAGTTATGTGTTGATCATGGGATTTTTTTTCTTCTTTATACTTTTTGGTGTCTTCCAAATTTTTTTCAATGACATCTATCTTCTGTAATCAAAAAATTATTTGAGCCGGGCTCAGCAGCTCAGCCTGTAATCCTGCGCTTTTGGGAGGCTGAGGTGAGTGGATTGCCTGAGCCTGCGGGTTCGAGACCCGCCTGGGCAGCGAGACCTCATCTCTACAATAAATTAAAAAATCAGCCGGGCGTGGGAGCGCATGACTGTAATTCCGGCTACTCGGAAGGCTGAGGCGGAAGGATGGCCGGAGCCCAGCAGGCGAGGCTGCGGTGGCCGGGAGCGGCCACTGCACTCCAGTCTGGGTGACCAAGTGAGACTCCAACTCAAAAAAAAAAAAAAATTATTTGAAGTAACTAAAATAAAAGAGGGAGACTAGTCCAATGTGTGGTCTTAGTCTGGAGATTCGTCTCATTTTAAATTGGTCCTCACAGCACCCAGCAGAGTGCTAGCCACATGGCCTGTGGAAGCCCTCCTCATCGGATCACATTGGTGTTTTTAAAATCAAGTTGCTTTTCGATGTTATAACCACACTGGGACTTAAAGAAAAAATTAAAACACACACACAGCTCTCAATCCAACACATTATTTCCTTTTCTATTTTCCTTTTGAGTTCTTATCCATTCAGATTTTACAGAGTTCTAACACACTATTCTATTGTTTTACTTTTACTGAGTGCTGAATCACTGTAAGCTCATGGACCAGCAGCTTGTCCAGTCAGGCCCAGTGACTTGACCCAAGCCCCCTTTGGCAGTGGCAGCTGGTGTAGTCTCTGCATCCCATAGCTTATTGTGACTTCCTCTGAGTGACTTGGGAATCTGTGATGATATCATATTTTCCATATTTATTTATCTTTTTAACCATAATTTTAAATGTCAAATGAATGCATCACAAATTATTTTCCCAGTTTCCCTTGTTAAGCTGTTTCTAATTTTTCACTGTTAATAATAATGTTGCAGTAAATAAGTTGGCGTGAAAAACTTGTTTCTGGATGAGCACAATGGCTCACACTTGTAATCCCAGCTTTTGGGGAGGCCAAGACCAAAGGATCACTTAAGCCCAGGAGTTCAAGACCAACCGAGGCAACTTAGTGAAACCTCATCTTTAGAAAAAAAATTTTTGATTAGCCAGATGTGGCGGTACATACCTATAGTCCCAACTACTGGGGAGGCTGAGGTGGGAGGATCGCCTGAGCCTGGGATGTCAAGACTGCGGTGAACCCTGATGGTACCACTGCGCTCCAGCCTGGGCAACAGAGTGAAACCGACTGAAAATATATATATTATTTCTTCTTCTGAATTATTTCCTTATAGATAGCCAGAAGTACAATTCCTGATCAAAGACTAGAACCTTTTCCTGATTGCTGACACATACTGTCCTACCATTTTCCAAAAGGATATTTGAATGCTAATTGCCATGTGCCTGCATTTGCTAACTTTCTAGGCATAGTGTCCGCTGTTGTTCTAATTTGCATGCCTTTGACCCCTAGGCAGACACCTATGTCCCATCTCCTCCTGGGATGACTGCCGGTGCCCCTGCTGACTGGGAACACTCTGTTTTCACAGACCCGGAGCCCAGGCATGTGATTTCAACCTTGCTCAGCGCTGCCCTGCCTGACATCCAAGCCCCTGAGATGGATGCTGTGCAAAGCGTGTAAGTGCTTAAAGTTGTCACGACATGGGCTTCTCTGCTTTTGTTTGTTTTTTTACATTTAACGCATTTAATTTGGGCTTTTTTTTGACAAATGTGAGAATTCTCAGCTGGCAGCATGTTCTGACAGCCAAAATTAAACTACTGTCTAAGAAACAAAGGTTCTTGGGAAGGATCATACTGAGATGCATTTCTGACTTAAGCCAAATCATGAGGCTGGGTGGGTGAACAGTGACGTTCACGCCAACAATGTGGAAGCAGCTTTTTCCATCTGTCCATAATATCTGAGATCTACAGAGATGCTAGGAAGCTGGGGTCCACCAATCTAGCCTTGATTTCTCCTCTAAGCATTCACTCAGCTCTTGGTAAAATAAATAACTCTAATAATTCCAATATCAACACTGACTTCCAACCTGTATCAAGTGCCTTTTGAGTGCTGAATCACTATAAGCTCATGGACCAGCAGTTTGTCCAGTCAGGCCTAGTGACTTGACCCAAACCCCCTTTGGCAGTGGCAGCTGGTGTGGTCTCTGCATCCCATAATTTATTGTGATTTCCTCCGAGCCTCAGTGACATGGGACTCTGTCTTCGCCTGGTGTAAGGATCTCCTCCTGGGTCAAAAAGGTTTTGTGGCCGGGCATGGTAGCTCATGCCTGCAATTCCAGCACTTTGGGAGGCCAAGGCAGGAGGATTGCTTAAGCCCAGGAATTCAAGACTAGTCTGGACTGTTGCAGCAGGTGTTGCAGCTCACCAGGGACAGGAACAAATGGAGTGTTGCCACACTCAGAACAGGCACCGGAGACCAAGTGGAGAATCGAGAGCATTCTCAGGTGGAGTAGTCTCCAAAAACCTGAGCCCTAATCCTCAGTTACAGGCTGTTTTTATACACATTCAGCGGACCTTATTGAAGACTTTTGGGTGTAGCAGGTCTGGGGCCACATCATCAGTCCTGGGCTTTTGTCATTGGTGGTTTTATCATTTTAAATTGAGGACCATGAACCGGAACCTTCACAGCAAACAGGTTTACATAGGGTGCAGCAAAGCATGCTTACAGAAGCAGAAGTGGCAGTTAGAGCAGCTGCTCATTTGAGATAAAGCTCTTAGGGTCTGGTTTCTTGATTAACTCTTGTTTTCCCGTCTCATTCCCCCCTTTGATGCCCTTTAAGGTTTTTTTAAGGGGCATCACCTGCTTTTTATATCTTCCAGAGTATGTTGTTTATATCCTTAGAGAGGCATTAGTAGGGACTTCTTGCCACATTTTTAGTTTGTGGGGGCTACGGCAATTAGGCCTGTGCCTAGAGCTAAGGCAATCATGATGAAAAGAGCGGGAGTTAAGGGGTGATGGCAATACATTTAGGGAATTAACAACCAGGAGAACAGTTTTTTTTCCTTTGGGCAGTTGGATTCTCACACTTGCATCAAATGGTCAGTCTGCGGTGTGGTTGAAGTAAGACGGGGGGCTCGGAAGGTGATCTTGAGGGGGTTCTCAGGGTCTCTAGTCGTCGTCCAGTTGGTAGAGTGTTCCGGTGGAGCAGCAGCTTTCATTCGGGAGTGATGAATCCAGGTGTCTATTCCTACAACTTTGAAAGCTGTGGGAGTTGTTAGAAGTACAGAGTAGGGACCCTTTCACATGGGTTTTAGGGGTGCCTTTTGCCAGTCTTTCACCCAGACAAAATTTCCTGGTTTGTAGGGGTGCACTGGATTGCTTATGGGCAGAGGAAATCTTTCCAGCACCCAGTGGTGTAACTGGGATATGGTGGTAGCTAAGAGCTGTAGCTGGAAATGGATATCTAACTTTCCTATTTCTTTTCTGTCTCTGGGAACCTTTGTAAGGGGAGGAGGTCTGCGAACAGCATTTCATAGGGGTAGAGCTTGATCCCTACTTGGGAAGAGCATCTCACCCGGAGGAGATCCATTGGCAGTACAGAGGTCCAAGGTAGTTAAGTTTCCTGACAAAACATACTCAAGGCTTGCTTTAGGTTTCGGTTCATGACCTCAACTTTTCCTCAATTCTGAGGTCAATAAGCTGTGTGCAAGTTCCATTTGATCTGTAGGGTCCTCGCTAGTCCTTATATAATTTCGGCCATGAAAACGGGTTCATTATTTGATCTGATTGAGGTAGGCATTTTGTACCTAGGTAAGATTTCAGTCAGTAGGACCCTCATTACTTCTATGGCTTTCTCAGTTCTGGTGGGGTATGCCTCAACCCAGCCTAAATATGTGCATACAATGACTAATAGGTATTTATATCCTTTGCTGGGCAGTAGTTTAGTAAAGTCTATCTCTAAGTCTTCAAATAGGCTTTGTCTGGTTCTTTGTATTCCCAGCAACTGAGAAGGCCCTTGTTTGGCATTGTTGCAGGTACAAGTCTGACATCTCTGAATTACATTTCTGCAAAGCGTGGGGAGTCCGGCTATATAGTAATACCAGTTTACTAAGGTTTCTAATGCCGTTTTTCCCATGAGTGTCCTCATGAAGTTGATGACCCAGGGGATAGGCCAGGTGGTCTGGGACAAAAGGCCATCCTTCAGGGAGAGCCACCATCCCTGAACCCTTGGTACCCTTTTCCCTTTTTTCTAGGCTTTTTATTCCTGGGCATAGTTTGGGCATTTGGGTAGGGCTGAGATCATTAAAATTTAGCCAGGAGGGGCTTGAGTGGTCATTGTCATGGTACTTGCTTGGCCTCCATGTCCACCCTTTGATTTCTTTTGATTATGGAACTCTTTCCTTTTTGGTGTCCTTGGCAGTGGGTGATTGCAATGGCTGTGGGATCTCAGACTGCTTCTAAGGAGCATAGGATTTCAGCTGATCTTTGATAGCTTTTCCTCCCGAGGTGAGAAGTCCTCTTTCTTTATAGAGGACCCCATGTGTATAGAGGGTGGTAAAGACATACCTTGAGTTTATGTAGATATTTACCTTCTGTCCTTTGCTTAATTCTAGAGCCCTGATTAAAGCCATTAGTTTTGCCCGTTTGGCTGATCATCCCATTGGGAGGGTCCTTGATTTTATTACTCCTGTTCCTATTAGGACTGCATCTCCCATCAAATGCTTTCCATCCAACAGGAAGTTGCTCCCATCAGTGTAGAGGGTATGGTGTGGAGAAGGCAAAGGCTGATCTGTGAGATATGGGTGACTGAAGTAGATTGCATCTGTTGCTTTAATACAGTCATGGTCTGGAGGTCCTGGCTCAGCAGGTAGGAAAGTGGCTGGATTTAAAGTTCTGACAGTCGCTAGGTGCACCCAGGGGTTTTCACACAGAAGGCCTTGGTACCGGCTCATGCATGGATTGGTGAGCCAATGGTGCCCTTGGTGGTTCATTAGGGCCGTAACTGCATGAGGGACCTGGATATTCAGGATTTGTCCCATAGTAAGTTTGTCTGCCTCTTCGGCCAAGAGAGTAGTGGCAGCCAGGGCCCGCAGGCAGGGTGGCCATCCAGCCACCACTGTCTATCTTTGGATAGATAAGCCACAGGTTGTTGCCAGCGTCCTATGTTTTGGGTTAGAACTCCCAGGGCTATTTCCTTTTTCTCATGAATGAACAGATTAAGTTTTCAAATCATATCAGGGAGTCCCAAGGGAGGGTTTCTAGTAGACCATTCTTAAGAGTAAGAAAGGCTTCCTGTTGCTGTTGCCCCCATTGGTATGGCTCCTTTTCTCCCTGCTTTGTGGCTTCATAGAGGTGTTTAACTATTAATGAATAGTTAGGGATCCAGATGTGACAGAAACTGGAGGCTCCCAGAAATTCTCAAATATGCCTTCAGATTTTCGGGGTTGGAAGGGCCCAAATTGCCTTTTTCTGTTTCGGTTCCAAAACCCGATGCCCTTTTGAGATTTGAAACCCCAAGTACTTGACTTTCTTCTGGCAAATCTGGGCCTTTTTAAGGGATGCCCTGTATCCAGCTTTCTGGAGCAAGTTTAGCAGTGTCTCTGTTCCCTTAGTGCAGTCCCACAAGGTTGCACTTGCCAGGGGCAGATCGTCCATATATTGCAGGAGTGTACTCTCGACTTCCACACTTGGGAAGAGTGCCAGATCCTCTGTCAGAGCCTCTCCAAATATTGTGGGAGAGTTCTTGAACCCCTGGGGCAACTGAGTTCAAGTTAATTGCTTCTTCCGGCCGGTGGCAGGGTCTTCCCATTCAAAGGCAAACATGGACTAACTTATGGGTGCCAGGCAAATGCAGTAGAAGGCATCCTTCAGATCCAGACAGGTAAACCATTGGGCCTCTGCAGGTATGAGGCCTAGGAGGGTGTAAAGGTTAGGGACCACCAGATGGATGGTTGTTGTGGCTTGGTTGGTGGCTCGCAGGTCCTGGACAGGTTGGTAGTCATGGGTGCCCAGTTTCTTCACAGGTAACAGAGGAGTATTCCATGAAGATCGGCATTTCTGGAGCAGCCCAAACTTTAGTAGTCTTTGGAGGTGAACTTAGATGCCGATCATGGTTTCCCGAGATAAGGGATATTGTCAGAGCTTTACTGGGTGGGCACAGGGCAGCAAGTCGACTATTACCGGTGAGTGGTTGACGGCTAGCCTGGGTGAGTTTCCTTCAGTCCAGACTCCAGGGAAGCAGTAGTTCCACGATTCCGGGGCCGGGTTGATGTTCGTGGTGGGCTGGGAATGGAGTTTCCATTCTTCCTCCTGGGGAATTGTGATGGACAAGATCAAGGAGGTGCTCTTTGTGGGTCCCAGCAGTTCGAGGTGGGTGGGGCCATCAGCTGAGAAAGTGATCTGGGCCCCCAGTTTGGACAGCAAGTCTCTTCTCATCAAGTGTACCGGACATTCTGGAATATACAGGAAGTCATGTTTTATCTGGTGTCCCCCCATGATGCAACTGCGGGTTTCACAGAAACAGCACTTGGTTTGGGTTCCAGCAGCTCCCATGATTTTTACCTTTTTCGTTGACATGGGTCCCACCAGTTTGGTAATGACTGAATGTTCAGCACCAGTGTTCACCATAAAGTCCATTAATTGGTTCCTGACTTTCATTTTGACCATGGACTCATGGGGGCCTAGGTTGATTGAGCCCTGTTTGTCTCAGTCTGAGTTAATTCCAGCTAGCTCTATGAAGCTGGTAGCAGAGGGCTCTGCCTTGTATGGAGTGTGGTCCAGTTCTGACCTCCGGTTTTTCCTCTTTTTCCCTTCAGGTCTATCAGGGCAATCCTTTTTTCAGTGCCCAATTTTTTTTTTGCAGTAACCACAGTGGTCCTTTGGCAAACGGGAAGGGACCCTTTGCCCTTTCTTGCCTCGGCTCTGACTCAGCTAACTCAGGGCCACAGCGAGGAGGGCAACCTTTTGTTTCATCTCCTTGTCAGCTTCTTTTTTTTTGCAGTCTGCTTTTGATTTATGAAGACTTTGTTGGCTACCTTCAGTAGTTGGGTCTGTTCATCCTGGCAAACCCCTCAAGCTTTTGCAGCTTTCCTCAGATGTCACTCTGTGCCTGGCCCACAAAGGCAGTGTTCACCGTGCACTGATTCTCAGGGGCCTTAGGGTCAAAGGAGGTGTACAGTTGGAACGCCTGACAAAGTCTTTCATAATAGTCCAATGGACTTGCATCTGACTTCTGGAGGACCTCAGTAGTTTTGGACATATTGGTGACCTTTTCAGCTCCTGCTCTTAATCCTTCTAAGAGGGCCTGTCGGTCTCTTTCCAAGTTGGCCCTTCCACCCTCTGAGTTTGGGTCCCAGTGGGGGTCTTCTGAGAGTACGGCCCTGACCCAGGTCTCAGGATTCAGCAGTCTCCCCGGGGCACTCCCTGCCATCCATTTTGGAGCCTCAGTCATTACTCATCGCCATTCATAAATATTGAGAAGAGTCAGGAGGAGCTGGCGGCAGTCTCCCCAAGTGGGAAGATGAGTCTGACAGATGAACTCTACTAGGTTGATTACAGCCTGCGGTTTTGCTGAGTAGGAGGGAGCATGATGCTTCCAATAAAGCAAGTCCATGGTGGTGAACAGCTGGTAATAGAAGACAGATTGTTCATCCTTGATGCTGCCGTCTTGTGCCACTTGTTGAGGGCTTCTGGTCTCACGCAGGGGCGTCTGGAGTGTGGGCCATTGGCTCTGGGCTGAGTGGAGGCGTCTTCACATCTGGTCTGGCTCTACAGGTGGTGGCAGAGACACGGATGGTGGTGGAGTGTCTGGCAAGGGGGGGCCTGCAGTACCAGTGGCATGGTGTAGGGAGGTGGCAGCAGCAGAGACTCATCATCTGGGTCTCCCTGGAAGATTGGCAGAGGCTTGGTAAGGTCCCGGTCTTGGTTCCTCAGTTGAGATGGAGTCTTGGCTAGGAGAATCCTACTCTGTTCCTGCCTACCAGCACAGAACCTTATCCAAGGGGGCTGAGCTAATGCAACTTGCAGCCATGAATCTATATATGGAAGCTGATCTGGGTTGCCTGGCTTTCTGGTTACCACCCAGTACACAGCCTTTATCTTGATCACATCCAGAATTCCCTCTGGAGACCACTCCTTATTCAACACCAGCCATTCTGTTATACAGAGGGTTTTCAGCTTTCCTAGAGACATCTTGATACCATAATCTCCTACATAACTTTTCCTGAAGTTTTTGATCATACAGTCTAAGACAGTGGTTTCGAGGGGGACCCTCCAATAGTATGCCTCCCACCGTGTCGGTGTCACAGAACAAAGACAAAGACCTCCTGGACAAGCACTGTCCAGGACAGAAATCACTTCACCTGTCTGGCCACTCCCCTCTAGGGAATTTGAGATACCTTCTAGCAGTAGGCAGGTCTGTATAATCTCTGGACTGAAACTAGTTCCCCAGAGGCGGAGACTGCCATTTAGCTGTGTGAGATCCTCAGGGAACCACAGGTTGGGACCCAGTCAGACTCCATAGCCTCAAGACCATGGAGCCCCACACATTCACACCACATTCACTCCCTTCCATTCCAAATTCAGACAAACCTCCCCCCTGGAGATTCTACCAGAGATACCACCATTTGGTGGCCCTGACTGACTGAGACACCCTGGAGTGTCTCACCGGCTCCTGAAGTCCTGGTCAATTGATCCACTCTCTCTATCTGGACCACCAAGCGGAGTGCGGTCTAATGGTCTGGGCCAAGGCTCACAGAGTCTGGATCCCGGACAACCAACGGGAGACACACCTTCCTTGTCCTTGGGACGCTCCCCCACTACAGCCGAGTCCAGCAACGGTGGTAGCTCAAAGGGCCAGCCTAATCGGAGGGCACAGCTGGGATTCCCAATTAACGCACCAAAATGCTGCAGCAAGTGTTGTAGCTCACCGGAAGCAGGAACAAATGGAGTGCTGCCATGCTCAGAACAGTCACCAGAGACCAAGTGGAGAATCGAGAGCATTTGTTCTGGAAGTCTCAGGCAGAGTAGTCTCCAAAAACCTGAGCACCAATCCTCAGTACAGGCTGTTTTTATATACATTCAGCAGACGTTATTGAAGACTTTTGGGTGTAGCAGGTCTGGGGCTGCATCATCAACCCTGGGCTTTTGTCATTGGTGGTTTTACAATTTTAAGCTGAGGACCTTAAGCAGGAAACTTCACAGCAAACATCACAGCAAACAGGTTTACATAGGGTGTGGCAAAGCATGCTTACAGAAGCAGAAGTGGCAGTTGGGGCAGCTGTTCATATGAGATAAGGCTCTTAGGGTCTGGCTTCTTGATTAACTCTTGTTTTCCTATCTCAGGACAACATAGTGAGATCCCATCGCTACTTTAAAAAAAAAGTTTTCATGCCCTCCAGGACAAAGGGACAGGGCACTTGGATGAATGGGGCAACGACCAGAAGAATTCCATTTTAAAATTTTATACCTAATCTTTTCCCACCATGTATTTAAACTGCTTACCACAACAACCTCTCCTCCCCATACACACACACACACACACACACACACACACACACACACACACACACACACACACACTAAGATAGATAAAATAACAAAAAAGAAAGTTGTTTAAATTAAATTAGGAGTACGAAAAAAATAAAATAAACACTCCACAAAAGTCATTGTGACTAAATTTCAGACTTGACAAAGAGATTCCTGACACAGAGGTTCCTCAAAAGAAAACGAAAAACAATCAGGTTTGTGGTTCTCATTTGCAGCTTACCTGTTCCTCAGGGAAAACAAGGGTTTTCCAAGCACTCACTTCTAGAGGAGACTTCTCCTGTGGGTTTTCATAGGGTGACATTAAATGATTTAAATACTCAAACATTTACAGGAAATTCCATTTACCTCATTCTACAGATATTTCTCAAGTTTCTGCAGTGAGATCTTGTGCTAGAATAGCAAATAGAATCCTCATTTAGCTAAAAAAATTTTTAAAAATTAAAATGCCCAGAAGTAGGCCTGGCCCCACAGCAGTTGCTATTACTGAGATCCATGGGACTGTTTTTTTGTTGTTGTTCTAGTGTTGTTATTTTTGTAGAGACAAGATCATACTGTATGGCCTAGGCTGGTCTCGATCTCCTGGCCTCAAGTGGTTCTCCTGCCACAGCCTCCCAAAGTACTGGGATTCCAGATATGAGCTACCATGCCCAGCCCCTTAGTGGCTTTTTCACCCAGAGGACACAAGTCAGGTGACAGCAACTCTACACTGAATAAAATTAACACAGCGCATGACTTTACTGCAACTGAATTTGATGAAGAATAGAATTCAGAGGGCAGCTTTTCCCCAACTGCCGCCAAGGTGCTCAGTTCTTCCAAAGACGCTAAGGCCATGTTGGGGTGAGGTCCTCACTTCATCCCATGACTACCACCACGCCCAGCATCTCCAGCCCTGTACTCACCATGCCATAGCCTCCATGTTCGAGCTTGCCTGCACCTACTCTGCCCTCATTCTGCACGATGACAAGGTGACCGTCACGGAGGATAAGATCAATGCCCTCCCTAAAGCCACCAGTGTGATGGTGGAGCCTTTCTGGCCTGGCTTGTCTGCAAAGGTCCTGGCCAAGATCGACATCAGGAGCCTCATCTGCCCTGTGAGGGCTGGTGGGCCCGCATCTGCAGCTGGGGCCGCCCCAGCCAGGGGTCCCACCCCCTCCACCACTGCTGCTCCAGCTGAGAAGAAAGTGGAAGCAAAGAAGGAAGAATCTGAGGAATCTGATGATGACATGGGCTTTCATCTGTTTAACTAAACTTTTATAATGTGTTCAATAAACAGATGAACTCTGAAGGAAAAAAAGGAATTCAGAGGGCATCAAAGAATGGGTAGGTAGTTGCATTCTCCTAAGATGATCTTTCTTAAAGGCCATTTTCTTTTTCTAGCTAAGCTTTTGATGGAAGAAATTTCTCTTAAATAATTCTGTGTCATTCAGTTAAAGGCATAAATACTCAGACCCAAAGAGACAAACTATTTTCCCCACTCTCTAAGTTTTGTGTTTTTTGTTTTGAGTTGGAGTCTCCCTCTGTCACCCATGCTCAACCTGCTGGGCTCAACCTGCTGGGCTCAACCTGCTGGGCTCAGGTGATCCTTCCACCTCAGCCTTCTGTGTAGCTGGAACTGTAGGCGCATGCCACCATACCCAGCTAATTTTTTTTTATTTATTGTAGAGACGAGGTCTTACCAAGTTACCCAAGCTGGTCTCAAACCCCTGGACTCAGGCAATCCTCTTGCTTCGGCCTCCCAAAGTGCTGGGATTACAGATTTGAGCCACCCTACCCAGCTACTCTCTATGTTTTAGGACTTACCCTGAGGTCCCAGAAGTGAAAACCAAGCTTTCCAATCTCCCTTACCCAGAGATGTGTAGAGAAAGAGGGTTGACTAAACTATGGGGGACAAGGGCTCGACCAATGTTTCTTCATTTGCCTCTTTCTTTCCACCAGTCTGGTCTTTAGTTTGGTCCTGTGGGTTTGCTCTTTTCGAAGGGGCAGAGATTCTGATGTCCACCACCTGCACAGAGGACTTCATGGACATGGGCCTGGGTCACTGGAGAGGTTGGGTGCTATGGAGACATCTCTTCTTCCAAGAGAAAGAGAAGGGAAGGCTGGCCTAAGGCTGGCTCACCAGCAGGCATCAGCTGGCATCAGTCATGTGAGTGTGGACGCCCAGGAGTCTGGGCCCTACCCTTAAGGATACCATGTTGGGTGTATAGGTTGTTCACTGTACCAGGGCATCTGACCAAGGGGGCGTTGGGGGAGGTGGAAGTCAAGCCTGAGGTCCACTGGCCAAACCTGCCATCAGCAGTAGGCTACGTTCTCCTGAAGGATGGGTGCCCATGGCTGACTCCTACAAAGGTGCTCAGTGGACAGCTGGGGTCCCACCTACCACCCTCTTCCAGGAATAGCCTCTATATCATCCCAGCTCATGGGGATAGGTGAAGACTGACCAAATTGTGATCATCTTCCCGAGGCTTTCTGAGAGTTAGCAAATAATGCAGCAGTGAATAAAGCTGTCTCCAATGCAGAATAGCTAACCATTAATCACGGCAATGTCAATAGATCAAAAAAGCAAAAACTGCTCCACTTTGATCCAGCTCTGTGGACCATGATTTAGCATCTCAGAAAGGCAGCCGACCACAGAGTGTGTTTCCTGCTCTTTTCTCCTGGGAAGTCCTCCCTTGTGGTTTTAAATCAAGGGCTGGACCTCTGACTCCTCACCAGCTCCACGTTCTCCAGGATGCACCTTTCTGCCGCTTCTGGGACCCACCAAACGCCATCCTCAGCCAGTCTGCCCCCTCACTCAACATCATCTTCCTTTGATGGTTTTTTGCTTATTTCCTGCACGCATCTTGGTCCCTTTCTTTAATTTTTCACCTTTAGGAGAAGGAGTTGATTGACAAAGCCAACAGAAAGAAAAGAACCAAGACAGACAAGACCAAAGCATCCAAAAGGGAGAGGGAAGGAGAGGTCTACAGGGAAGCAGAGGCTGCTGTCGGTAAGAGCGCCTTGAAGGAACAACCAGGAGACTCCTGATGGGGCCGGGAGGTAGATGGGCAATCAGCATGGATCCCATGAAACACTCATCCTACAGGACAGACTCTATTTTGAGTCTCCTTTTTTTTTTTTGAGTAAGGGTCTCATTCTGTTGTTCCAGGCTAGAGTGCAGTGGCACCATCGTGGCTCACCACAGCCCCAAACTCCTAGATTCAAGCAATTCTCCCACCTCAGCCTCCTCAGTAGCTGAAACTACAGGTGTATGCCACCATACCCAGTTAATTTTTTTTTATTTTTTGTAGAGATGGGGTCTCAATATGTTACCTAAACAGGCCGTGAACTCCTGGGCTCCAAGTGATCCTCCCATCTTGGCCCTTCAAAATGCTGGGATTACAGACATGCACCACCACACGTGACCTGCTTTGAATCTCCTTGACTGCCACAACTAAGATGGTGCTACAGCCTCCTTTCATGTTAACACCTTAGCAGACAGGGGCAAGGAGACTGGGAAGCCTGGAGACCTGTAATCCCCAAGAGAGGAAATGGCAGTCATGATCATAACAGCTCCTATTTGCTGAATACCTTACCTGCTATATTAGGAGCTCTGCATATGTGGTCTCATGCAGTCCTCATGTCATCTCAATGGAGTAAGTGTTGTTGCTATATTCATGCAGCAGCTGAGGCTGAGAGAGGCTGGGTAACTTGCATGAGGTCGAGCAGATCAGAGAGTAAACTGGAGGACCCAGGGTTTGTTCTTTCGTATTTGACTCCCAGCACATGCTATTACCACTGTCTCCATTAACTACTAACTATATCATCATGGGTTGGGTACAGTGACTCACACTTGAAACCCCAGCACTTCCAGAGGTTGAGACAAGAGAATTGCTTAAGCCCAGGAGTTTGAGACAAATCTGGGCAACATAGTGAGACCTAGTCTCTGAAAAAATTAAAACATTAGCCTAGCATAGTGGCATACACCAGTAGTCCAGCTACTCAGGAGGCTGAGGCAGAAGGATCACCTGAGCCCAGGAGGTCAAGGCTGCGGAGAACCATGATCATGCCACTGCCCTCCAACTTGGGTGACAGAATGAAACCCTGAATCAAAATAGAACAATAGAAGTTACTGAAGGCCGGGCTTGGTGACTCTGCCTGTAATCCCAGCACTTTTTGAGGCCGAGGCAAGTGGATTGCCTAGCCTATGGGTTTGAGACCAGCCTGGGCAACCTGGTGAGACCTCGTCTCTACAATAAATCAAAAATTAGCCAGGCATGGTGGCATGCACCTGTAGTTCCAGCTACTCGGAAAGCTGAGGCGGAAGGATTGCCGGAGCCCAGCAGGTCGACGTTGGGGTGGCCATGAGCATGCCACCGAACTCCAGCCTGGGCGACAGAGTGAGACTCCAACTAAAAAAAAAAAAAAAAAAAAAAAGTTACTGAAAAGAATGTATAGAGATCACATTTACTTAACTTGACTGTACCTCTGTCCTTAACTGTTCTCCCCCCAGGAAAGTCAAAGGCTAAAAAAAAAGTAGAAAATAACCCAAGCATCCAAAGGAAAAGGTCACAGAAAGAAAGGAATCTGGAGACAGCAGCAGAGTTGAATGGGCCTGATGTCACCAACCCTAGGGAAACAGCAGCCGCCTCAGGTCGAGGTTTCTTCCCCTCAGCCTCTATTGTTGAGGACCCTTGGCCTCCTCCCCAAGATGATGGTCCGGAGAGCCAAGTTTCTATAGATGGAAGGTTGTCGCCCTCCCAGACGGCAGCCGTCATTGGCAATGTGGAATCTGGAGAAGACAGAAGCTGTGATGACCCTTCCAGGGTAGGGTCCGATGTTCTCATCTTGGCCAGACCAAAGGAAATTCTGTCCTCATGGGTGCAACTGCAGAGGTGGGGGAAAGTGCTCCCATAATTCTGCAGTTATAGAGACAGCTCTACCACATAATGGTCTTGTTTCACTGTGGCACCTCCTGACTCTAGTAAGAGGCCAGATTTGATCAAAACACAAGGTGGCAAAGCCCCTCCAAAGTGATGTGTTCTGTGAGGCCCCACCCTGCCAGGGTGAAGGACAGGAAGTGGGCACAGCACCCCTCCGTGAGAGATGCGGGTGTTACGTTATAGGGAAAGGTGGGTGCTGGCTGCCAGAGCCAGGCACATGGCCCTGACTTAAGCTGGAGCTCATCTGTCACTCACCTTCTGAAGGCAGCGTTTCTACAGCTGGGATAGAGAGGGTGTGTCCCACACGTTTGCTTTTAAAAGGTGCTTTTTCATGTGAGTCACTGTGCTCCAAGGGCCTTGATTCCAATGTGGAGGTTTGAAGAGAAAAACTGAGTGTAAGAAAAATTGAAAATTACCATTGAAAGTCCCCTCATGAACCAGAAAGAACACCACATAGATACACCATCTCTCAGTAAGACCAACGCAGTCAATATCCCCCAGTTGTTGGAATAGATCACTCTTTCTTTCACTAGAGGAAGGCACTAAACTACATTTAGAGGTATTGTACAAAAGAAAAAGGCATTTGTGTGTTTGTTTGTTTGTCTTTTGAGACAGTCTCTCTCTGTTGCCCAGGCTGGAATGCAGTGGTGCAATCACAGCTCACTGTACCCTCTACCCCTCGGGTTCAAGTGATCCTCCCATCTCAGCCTCCCAAGTAGCTGGGACTACACGCACATGCCATCACACCCAGCAAAAATAGCTTTAAGCACTACAAGTGCACACATAGCTACACCACTGTGGTTAAACTCACATAAGCTACATGTGCACATGATACACTCTGCTGAATCTCATTTAATCTTTATAGTCACACTTGTGAGCCAGGTTTGATCAGGCCCTTTTTATGGGCTGAGAAAATAAAGTTAGAAGGAGTTAAATGCAGGTTGTCAGAAATTGCACAACCATTGAGTGGTAGAGCCAAGACCTCAGGTCCTTTGGTCCCAAATTCAGGACTCTTTACACTATTTTAAATTATTATCTATTTATTTATTTTATAGATGTTTGTCTTCCAGAAAGATTTTTCCTTGACGCTCTCAGTCCCTTCCAGCTGTCTAAATTATGGAATTCTGCTCTGCACAATGGATGATAATTGTAGCCTGGGGGTAGGACTTTCCTGAGCTGGTTAGATCATCAGCAGTTTCTTAGATTTACTGTCAGTCCATAGTACTGTGCTGCTTCTGCAAAGGCTAAGAAGCAAGGGAGGTTTTATGCCAAACTGGAGACTCGGCATCCCATGGAACAGTTGCCCCAGGGTTCCTGCATGGGCATATTCCCGATTGAGGAGGAGGCATTAGAGAGAAAAGAAAGCTACCACACTTCCATGTAAATTGAAAGAACAAACCCTCCTTTGGAAAGAAGGGTTTCTGTGGGACTAAATGTGAGTCTGACCCATCTAGACCTAAGATGGCCCCTGGTAAAACAGCCTCTATCTAGACCCTGATATGACTAGTCTAGTCACGTTAGACTCACCCAAGAAACTTTTTAAACCATGGAGACCTCCCACCTAGAGATTTTCATTTGATCTGGGTGGAATCCTGGCCTCAAGTAGTTTTGTTTTTTGCTTTGCTTTTGTTTTTGTTTTTGAGTCGAGGTCTCACTCTGTCGCCCAGGCCGGAGTACAGTGGCACGCTCACGACTACCTCGACTTCCTGGGCTCAGGTGATCCTTCCACCTCAGCCTTCTAAGTACAGTTGTGTGTCACTCATGTCTGGCTAACTTTTTGATTTATTGTAGAGACGAGGTCCCGCCAAGTTGCCCAGGATGGTCTCAAACCCCTGGTCTCAGGAAATATTCTCGTCTCCACCTCCCTATGTGCTGGGATCAAGTAGTTTTTAAAAGCTTTTGGGCGATTCTAAAGGGCAGCAAGGGCTGAGAGCTCTAAGAGTACCATGTCCTGGACATTATGTCGGCACTTTGATTATTTCAATTAATCCTGGTAACACACCATGAGGAAAATGGTATCAGGAAAATTAAGTTGTGATCCCTACATCCCAAAGCAAGTAAGGGAGAGAGGTGAATCGAGGCCAGTCAGACCCCAAAGCCCGAGCTTGTGGTGGCGGAGTCTACGCAGCTGTGGTCAGTGTGGAGTCTGCTTTGTGATTCCATGTCAGATCAGACACAATATTGCTGGGTGGGGAAGGGTTCACTGCCAGGACAGACCCTCTGTTCCTTGCACTGAGGATACTGTGGGTTTCTTAGGCCCTCCGCGCTAAGAGGGAGCAGGAGAAAGCTTCCCGAGACAGGCTTCGCATGGAGAGGGCGGAGATGAGGCGCCTGGAGGTGGAGAGGAAGAGGAGGGAGCAAGAAGAGCAGAGGCGGCTCCAGGAGGAGCAGCTGGAGAGGGCCAAGCAGCTGGAGGAGCAGCTGGAGCTGGAGCAGCAGAGACACGCAGAGGAGACCCGGTGGGTTGGTCAAGAGAGTGGGGCCAGTCAGGAGGCAGAACAGGGCCATGGCTGGCCTCCCAGGGCACAGTTTGACTCTGAGGCTCATGACTTGCAGTATCAAGGCATGTCCCACTTTCCTCCATCTGCATTTGCCTGGCCCGGAGGTAAGCTGCAGTGTCCTGACCCCAGGGCCACTCCCACATCCACAGGATCTTCCCAGGAGGCTTTGCAATGCAGGTCGGTGACACGTGCCAAGACCCTGCCCTGCTGTGAGGCCTGTACTGGGCCCTTCCCCAGGCCTTGGCTCTACGTATCTTCACGACCACCCCGTGAGGTGGGGTTTTCAAAATCTATCTATAAGAATGGAAAGTAGAGCTCTGAGAACATAAGGCCCTGGCCCCAGAGCACAGAGCTGTGTACAGACACTTCTAGACTCCTAATTCCAGGCCACTGCATCTTTGCCTCCCTGGGAAACCTAAGGCTTTCTGGACAGTCTGTTGGCTCATCACACGAGAATGCCTCCATGTCCCCTGCCCTTTCCCTGACCATCTCATATTTTCTCAGCTTGAGGAAACAGAGACTGGAGGAAGAAAGGCAGCGGCAGGAGGCGGAGGAGAGGAGGCAGCGGCTGCAGCTGCAGGCAGCCCAGGCAAGGGCCCGGCGGCAACAGGAGGAGCTTTGGAGGAGACTGCAGGAACTGCAGGGCAGGAGGCAGCGTGAGGAGGCCCAGAGGGCTGGTGAGCGCTCCCGGGCTCCTGGCAGCTCCTGCCTACTGGGGGCAGAAACATTGCTATCCATGGATTCCTGTCCTAGGCCTCAGTGTGTGGCACTCTCGATGCACAAGCTGTTTTTCTCAAATTAGGTATTATGTGTGACTATTGACAAGTTAATACAAAGCAGGATAAGAAAGGGAAGTCTTGCTGGTGGAAGGAACCCCAGGGCCCACTCTCAATGCGGCCATCTCCCGGGCAGGGACCCTGCCAGTCCTCTCCCCTCTTAGCACTGCTCAGAGCATCCCACTCTGGAGACCCCGACTCATGCCTCCCATCCTAACAGATGGGCATGGTTGCAAACATCTGGAGAACCTCAGGGCAGACTTTCAGGTATTGATGCACGGAATCTGCTTTTTAGAACATACTTTTAATTGATGCATAATAGCTGCACATTTTTAGGGGCTATGGTATAATATTTTGACATGTACACAATGTGTAATGATCAATCAGGGTAGTTAGCATATCTATCACCTCAAACATTTATCATTTCTTTGTGTTGGGAACATTCAAAATCCACTCTTCTAACTACTTAAAAATATAAATTGTTGGCCGGGCACTGTGGCTCACGCCTATAGTCTCAGCACTTTGGGAGGCTGAGGCAGGAGGATCACTGGGGAGCCTCATAGCAAGATCTCATCTCTACTGCACTCCTGCAAGAGAGTGAGATCCCAACTCAAAAAACCACAACAAAAATATGTGTGTGTGTGTTAATTACAGTCACCCTACAGTGCTATAGAACGCTAGAACTTATCCCTCCTAAGGTAACCTCTCCCCAGCCCCTCTACCCTTCCCTGCCTGTAGTAGCCACTATTCTACTTTCTACTTCTATGAGATCAGCTTTTTAGCTTCTGCATGAATGAGAATATGTGTCTTTCTGTGCCTAGCTTACTTCACTTAACATAGTGTCCTCCAAATTTATCCATGTTGTCAAATATGAAAGGATTTCACTCTTTTTATAGCTAAATCGTGCTCCATTGTGTCCACACATCACATTTTCTTTATCTGTTCATCTAATGATGAACCCGTAGGTTGATTCCACATCTTGGCTGCTGTAAACACAGAGTGCAGGTGTCCCTTCAACATGTGACCTTCCTTTCCTTTGGGTATGTCCCCAGTAGTGGGTTGGTGGGCCCAGTCTCACTTTGAGGAAGAGGTAGGAACTTCAGCAGATGACACTGGCCACCTCGTCATTCTGGCTTTTTAGACTGGTCAGTCCAGCTGAGTAAGCACCAACTTTCTCTAGACCCTGATCTGACAGCCCTCCCCAACCCAGTTTTGTACCTCCCTATGAACACACCAGGATCTGGAAAACTCCTCAAGGCTTTGTACTCATTGCCTAGCACACTGCACATGGTAGGTACTTCATAAAGGATTCCTAAACTAGAAAATTAACCCACAAAGGATCTGACAGTCTGCTGGGAGGTACACTGTAGACTTTCTCACAGAGTTGCTACTAATTAGACTTGAGAGTTGAATCAGAAAATGGTTTTCCCCAATCATGACCCTGCTGGATGGATTCCCCTTTTCTGTCCTGCAGAGGCAGAAAAGCAAAGACAAAAGGAACTGGAAATGCAGTTAGCAGAAGAACAAAAACGCCTGATGGAAATGGCTGAGGAGGAGCGAGTGGATTACCAGCGGCGCAAATGGGAAGCTGAAGAGAGAGCTCGACTGGAAGCAGAGCAGAGGAGGCAAGAGGAGGAGGAGGATGCAAGGCTGGCTCTGGAGGAGGCCAGCCAGGTCCAGGAGCAAGCCAGGTACCAAGCATTTGGGTGGCAGTTGCCATGGGAGAACTGTCTGGGGCCTGACTGCCTGGAGCAGGTGCCAGCCTTGCCTTTAGACAGGCAGGGTTTCCCACCACCCACCCCAGAAGCATGGTTTGGAAGACTGAAAAGCAGATTTTTGCTGCAAAAGTCACAGGATTCCCTCTTGGCTTCTAGAGCTTGTGTCAAAGCTTCAGGAGTTTAGAGATCATTTATCCCAACCTTCTGGTTTACAGATGTGAAAAGTCCCAGAGAGGGTTTTGTTTATTTGAGTCGGGGTCTCACTGTCACCCAGGCTGGAGTGCAGTGGCACAATCATAGCTCACTGCAGCCTCGACCTCCTGGGCTCAGGCAACCCTTTTCACTTCAGCCTCCTGAGTAGCTGGGGCTACAGGTGTGTGCCACCAAGCCCAATTAATTTTTTAAAAACTTTTTTTGTAGAGATGAGGTCTTGCTATGTTGCCCAAGATGGTCTCAAACTCCTGGGCTCAAGCAATCGTGTCTCAGTTTCCCAAAGTTACAGGGGTTACAAGTATAAGCCTCTATACCCAGCGAGGGAAAGGATTTGATCAGGCCAAACTTAGAGGCAGTGCCAGGACCAGGTCTGACCCTGATTCCCAACCCACTTCCTTCCTCAATGTTTACTGAGTGACTGTTACATGCCAAACACTATTCTAGACACTAGGTCTAGAATTCGTGAGACAGAGAAGGTCTCTTCTCTCATGGCATTTACATTCCAGGGGTGGGCATGGGGAGACAGACTCTAAACAAATAAAAGTATAGATTTGGTTAAGCCAGCAATAAATCCTATGCAGAGAAACTTAAAAGCTATGACAGGGCCAGGCTTGGTGGCTCAGCCTGTAATCCCAGTACTTCGGGAGGCTGAGGCGAGTGGATTGCCTGAGCCCGCGTGTTTGAGATCAGCCTGGGGTACTTGGGAAGACCTCCTCTCTACAATAAATAAAAAATTAGCCAGGCATGGCAGTGCGTGCCTGTAGTTCTGGCTACTTGGAAGGCTGAGGTAGAAGGATCACTGGAGCCCAGCAGGTCGACACTGGGGCAGCCGTAAACGTGTATGCCATGCCACTGCACCCTGGGCGAAGGAGTGAGACTTCAACTAAAAAAAAAAAAAGCTATGGCAGGATTACAGGAGGCTTATTTTAGAATGGTTGGCCAGGACAAGGCCTCCCAGAAGAGATATCATATAAGGTGGAACTCGAATGACAAGGTTAGTCACATAAACATCTGGGAGAAAACAATTCCAGCAAGCAAACAGTAAGTGCAAAAGTCTGGAGAAAAAAATCAGCCTGGCATGTAAGGAGAATAAGAGAAAGTCAGCATAGCTGGAGTGAGTGAACAAGGGGCAGAGAATACTTCCAGATAAAGTCAGAGAGGTTGGTGAAGACCAGATCTAATGTGGGCGTTGTTAGAAGAAACAGTCAAGTCACCAGGGACCCAGGGCATTTCCTGATTCTCCTACAGTGGCCACTTCCTTTATGATAGGATTGGGGTTGTGTGGCTTCAAGTGACCTCTTAAAAACTAGGCCCTCTACAGTTGCTACATCACGAGCTTCCCTGCCTTAGTGAAAGCCAACGAATAGCCATCCCTCTTTAGAAACACTTGAATGGGAGAGTAAACCGTGCAATGCCAACTTGAAGTGTAGAAACTTGTCCCCATGAAATGTATTTCCCATAAATAAGCCATCTTTAAGATGGTCAATCCTCTCTAGAGGACTAAAACGAGAAGGCAGTCAGCACAACTCTACTTCAAGATGTCTACTAACCCTGAGTTTTTCCTCCCTAGGATGTTCCTCAGCTGTCAGGTGAATTATGAAATAGACCATTAGGAAAGTACCAATAGAATTATGTATACCATGTATCATAGCAGCAGGGCTGAGTTCCTAGTATTGAGATCAGAAGCAAGCTATTGGGAGTCCCTATTTTCCATGAAATGAAAACCAACAGTCATACAAGGGAAGCAGGGCAATTTGTAAGGCTGGTCCTAGTAGCTGAAAGCAGAAAGCCAAGTAACCAAAGGAGTGAGGGTTGGAGCCTCTTTAACCAAGGTATCATCTTCACTTGTGTGACATTGGCCCAGGTCACTTCATCACTTAAAACAAGGGAGTAAGGACTGTGAATTACGCCTTTCCTTTTACTTTTCCAGTAGGAGATTCATGTTACTCTAAATGTCCTATATAAGTTACTAAATGAAGAGTATGAGTTTCCATTAAAACCCAAGATCAGCTGGATGCAGTGGCTCACGCCTGTAATCCCAACACTTTGGGAGGCGAGAGGATTGTTTGAGCTCAGGGGTTTGACACCAGCCTGAGCAACATGGCAAGACCTTGGCTCTACAATAAATCAAAAAATCAGCCAGGCGTGGTGACGCATGCTTGTGGTTCCAGCTACTTGGAAGGCTGAGGCAGAAGGATCGAGGCTGCAGTGGCTGTGAACATGCCACTTCACTCCAGCCTGGGCGACAGTGAGGCTCCAACTCAAAAAAAAAAAAAAAAAACCAACAAAAACAAGATTGACTATTCAAAGTTCCTCTAGCATATAAAGACAATTTTTAGGGTACCTAATCATTATTGGAACTGGGGTGGGGTTGTCTCCTTAGGGAAAAAGCTGCTTTAGAGAAACATCGCCATTTCTGGCAAGAACTCCGCAAGGAAGCCAGTGGCCTGCAGTGGACACAGAGCATTTCCAGAGCATGGGTTTACTCTTACTTCCAGTTCCTACAAATGCCCAGGCCATAAGGCTAGAAGAAAACTAAAAGTAAGTTGGAAGGTGGTGACAGAAGAAGAGAAACTTGTAGAATCAAGTTCCATCCTGAGCCCAATGAGCTCGTCATCAGGTCCCCTTGACCCACACCTGAGGTTTCTCCACTCTAGAACCTCCTTTCCCAGCACACCTCCACCACCACACACTCTTGGTTCAACTCACTTAAACTCTTCACTCTCCTAAACCCTTTCTGTTCTCTAGAACGACATAAATCAGAAGCTCTGGTGCCTAAAACTGCCCATAATTCCAGTTTGAAACAAAAATGGTCTTAGGATAGTATTTCACTTCAGTCGATGTGTCTGAAAGAGCTGCAGATCAATGGAAATTTTGTAATGCAAATAACTCTGAATTAACTAAGAGGAACTAATTTACATATGTAAAAATATTAATTATATTGTGTCTCTTTATAAAGCAAAACCACAACTACTTCATCCTCAGAATCTAACATTATCTATCTAGAATGTATATTTGTAATCGCTCGATAAATGTTCATTTCAGCAAAATGAGCTGTGTGCTGTAAGGCTATTCTCACATCTTCAAAGTAGATTACATAATGGCACTGTTGAGTAACACAGCCAGCCGCACGCAGCTATTTAAACTCATTAAAATATTCAGTTCTTCAGTCGCAGTAGCCACAATTCAAGTGCTCCATGGCCATATGTGGCACTGTCTACTGTAGTGAATCGCACAGATATAGAGCACTTCCATCATGACAGGAAGTTCTCTATATGACAGGAAGCATTACTCTAGAGCCTTGAAAATGAATAGAGCTTCTGTTTTTGCCTCTAACTGTGCCTTGAGAACCAACTACTCACAACATTTCCTGCTAAAAAAATTAGTTTCTTTCAGGAAGTCTTGGTTAGATAGTTAGATGGTTAACATCTCTTTCAGCATCTCCTTCTTAGAGACCACCTGCACTTCCCTTTTGAGTGTGTACCTTTGGTTCAAATTAAAGCTCCTTCCTTCACTAAAAAAAAAAAAAAAAAAAAGATCTTTTAATATCTAATAAAATATCTCTTTTAACAAAGTATCATAGAATAACCATTAAAGGGATGAAAGGGCTTTTTAGCAAACAAGTTATATAAAAGGATGTTAAAGCAGCATCTGAATCTCAGTTTTCCCATACATTTCCTTTGATCCTACCCTATACTTCACTGTCCACAGCTGAAAAGCGTAATATTCACAGGCCGTTCTCTCCAATTTCTCAGTAATGTTCCTGAGGCCTTTGCTTTTCTACAGAAATTTATACCTCTACAAGCTAAAAATCGAACTTAATTTAGATTCTGTATTTCTGTTATTCAACTTGCTTAGATTTGATGCTTATTTTAACTCCTTGTTTTATGTAAAATTAAACAGAAATAAAATGGCTAAAACACTAGGTAATATCAGTCACAGTGAACTTACGTATGTCATTTAAACATATGTGGACCCTACTTTCACATTTATTCATTCAGTCAATTCATTCAACAGTACTTAATCAGATAAGAAAGAAACATCTCAAGTATTTCAACCAAGAACAGAAGACTGAACATTCAAGGAACACAAGCTTGTGGGAGAAATTAGCATTGTTGACTTTATTTCCTCCCTTCTTTTACAAATTTAGGATGTTGTTGTCAAGCACCAGATAGAGTAGCTACTCTTAAGTGTTATTCAAGGTCTCTTCAGAAATTGATATTCTATTAAGTTTCTGCTGTGAAACGTCTATTTTGTCAGCACTTTTACTATACCAGATAAACATGTTTAAGTTAACCATAGCAGAGTGCAATACATTTAGAAGAATTCAGTAAACTAAAAACAAAGCCTGGGCAACACTGCTAGACTTTGTCTCTACGGAAAAAAAAATAAAAAAAATTAGTCAGGCATGGTGGTGCCTGGGCAACACTGCTAGACTTTGTCTCTACGGAAAAAAAAATAAAAAAAATTAGTCAGGCATGGTGGTGCAAGACTGTAGTTCCAGTTCCTCGGGAGGCTGAGACTAAAGGCTCACCTGAGCCTACGAGATCAAGGCGGCAGTGTGACTGTGCCCATGCACTCCAGCTTGGTTGACAGAGAGATCTTGACTCAAAAAATAAAATAAACACAAAAAAATTACTTCTCCAGTAGTTACGCTGCACCACCTAAATGCTGAGAGCCTTCAGATAGTTAGACATGCAAACAAAATTAAAATACCAAACTACATATTCATGTATTCTGAATAGTTCAGAAAGCCAATCAGGTGTGTTATTCAATCTTAACAGCCCATGAGGGCTTTCTTTTTTTTTTAACGAAGATTTTCTAAAAGTGGGTCTAATTCAGTCACTGTGATGATACTGATACATGCCAAATGGCTGCCTAAAAGCTCTAATTTATTCAGTATAAAAAATGTTCAGTTAGGGGAAAATATAAGACTTATAAGATCAAGCCAATTCATTCCTCAACAGGTGACTTGAGAAGGATACGTAAGCTATAAGAGTTTATACAATACATTCAAGATAGGTTTTATTTGGTCTTCTCAAGTAGTCAGATGACATTCTCCTTAGGATAACATGAAACTGGATTATGTGGATGCACAGATATACTGAATTCTGGATTCATCAGAGTTAAAAGGAAAAGGTAAGCCCTCTAAAAGGAGCAATCTTGATTTTTTTTTTGCGCAAAGTTTAAATATTTAAGATATAAAGAGAAAGAAAGAAAATATAAACAAAATATACCAAACTTTAAGCAAATGTCTGTAAATTGCTAAAGGGAGAACTGAAATTATCAATATAAGTCAAGAATTTTTGGCGTGCCCATTTATTCAACATGATTGAGTAACTGTATCATATATATGCACCATACCGGATAATAAAGTTTTTAAAAAACAGAACACTAAGTATTTAAAAAGGTTTTGTGGGCTTAATTAAATCCTTGATTCAGAAGGCACTTCAGTAACTTGCAGTGCTTCAAAGTCATTAACATCATCATTGTACAGTAATGAAAAAAAATTATGCCACGTGCAATTTCCAGTATTATACAATTAAAATAAAATGAGCAATAGTACGGTTTTTACAAATATTGTTTATTTTAATGAAGCTGGTACAGACAATGTCCATTTAAAACCCATATCCCAGGCCAAAAAGTACAAACAAAATCAAAAAGAGCAGTGTTCTGCTGTACACACTTCTGCATGAATAACTTTATTAGTTGCTAATGAAAATTAGAACTTTTCTGGGATCTTCTGACAAGATTTTTTTTT